GATTGGAACTTGTGGGTGTGTCAACAGTGACTCTGCTACAGCCATTAAGAAACTATTCTTACCCAAGAGATATTTTGTTGTCTTATATACATTTCGGTTAATTTTCTTCGTTGAATTCTTTATCTCTGAAGCATCCATGTTTCTTTGACCGTGTGTACAGTGATATATTTTTAATATGGCTTGCTGGCAGTTATCTACCTTCTTGAGGTCTGTGTTGTGATAATCCCTGAGGTGGTGACCTCACTCAACACTAGGTACGTAGTTTCTTAATGCTGTGAAGTATACCTCTCAGTGACCCATGAGAGTTTAGCGCTATTAGTATATTTGTTAATCCACTACACACTCTCCTCACTACACACACTCCTCACTACATACTCGCCTCACTACAGATTCGCCTCACTACAGACTCTCCTCACTACACACACACTCCTCACTACACAGTCTCCTTACTACACTCCTCACTGCACACTTTCCTCACTACATACTCTCCTCACTACACACACTCCTCACTACACACACTCCTCACTACACACACTCCTCACTACACACACTCCTCACTACACACACTCCTCACTACACACACTCCTTCACTACACACACTCCTCACTACACACACTCCTCACTACACACACTCCTCACTACACACACTCTCACTACACCACTCCTCACTACACACACTCTCACTACACACACTCTTCACTCACACTACACACACTCCTCACTACCACACTCCTCACTACACACACTCTCACTACACACACTCCTCACTACACACACTCCTCACTACACACACTCTTCACTACACACACCCTCACTCACACACACACTCCTCACTACACACACTCTTTCAACTCACACACACTCTTCACTACACACACTCCTCACTACACACACTCTCACTACACACACTCCTCCTACACACTTTCCTCACTACACACACTCTTCACTACACACATCTTCACTACACACACTTCACTACACACACTCTCACTACACACACTTCCTACACACACTCCTCCTACACACTTTCTCACTACACCTCTCACTACACACACTCCTTCACTACACACACTCCTCACTACACACTTTCCTCACTACACATCTCCTCACTATCACACTCCTCACTACACACATCCTCACTACACCACTCTTCATACACACGCTTCGCTTACTACACTCCTCACTACACACTCTTCCTACACTACCTCTTCACTACACACACTCACTACACACCTCCTCACTACATACCTCCACACTCCTCACCTTACTCACACTCCTCACTACACACACTTTCCACTACAACTCTCCTCACTACACACACTCTCACTACACACACTCCTCACTACAACTCTCCTCACTACTCAACTCCTCACTACACACTTTCACTCACTCACATACTCTCCTCACTACACACACTCCTCACTACACACACTCTCACTACTCACACTCCTCACTAACACACTCTCACTACTATACTCCTCACTACACACACTCCTCACTACATCAACTCCTCACTACCACACTCCTCACACCACACTCCTCACTACCACACTCCTCACTACCACACTCCCACTACCACACTCCCTCACTACTCACACTCCTCACTACCACACTCCTCACTACCACACTCCTCACTACCACTCCTCACTACACACACTCCTCACTACACACACTCCTCACTACTCACACTCCTCACTACACACACTCCTCATCTACACACTCCTCACTACACACACTCCTCACTACACACACTCCTCACTACACACACTCCTCACTACACACACTCTTCACTACACACACTCCTCACTACACACACTCCTCACTACACACACTCCTCACTACATCACACTCCTCACTACACACACTCCTCACTACACACACTCCTCACTACACACATCCTTCACTACACACACTCTCACTACCACACTCCTCACTACACACACTCCTCACTACACACACTCTTCACTACACACACTCCTCACTACACACACTCCTCACTACACACACTCTTCACTACACACACTCTTCACTACACACACTCCTCACTACCACACTCTCACTACACACACTCTTCACTACACACACTCCTCACTACTACACAACTCCTCACTACTCACACTCCTCACTACTCACACTCCTCACTACACACACTCTTCACTCACACCTACTCACCCTCCTTCATTACACACACTCTTCACTACACACACTCTTCACTACACACACTCTCACTACACACACTCTCACTACACACACTCTTCACTACACACACTCCTCACTACACACACTTCCTACACACACTCCTCACTATCACACTTCTCACTACACATCTACCTTCACTTACTACACACTCTTCACTACACACACTCTCATACACACATTCCTACACAATTACATACATGACCTCTTAACAGTAACCAATTCCTAAACCACTCCTCACTACCACACACTCTTCCTGGCACACAGCTCTTCACTCACAACTTCCTCACGACACACACAAGTGTTACTACCACTTCTACACACACTCTTCACTACACACTCTTCACTACACACACTCTTCTACACACACTCCTCACTACACACACTCCTCACTACTCATACTCCTCACTACTCACACTCCTCACTACTCACACTCCTCACTACTCACACTCCTCACTACACACACTCTTCACTACACACACACTCTTCACTACACACACTGAATCTCGACCCCTGCAACCACAATTAGGCGAGTACAATTAGGTGAGTACACACTCCTCACTACACACACTCACTACGCACTCTCCTCACTACTCACACTCTTCACTACACACACTCCTCACTACACACACTCCTCACTACATACACTCCTCACTATTGTATACTTGGTTAAGGAGAAAATTATCTGACGCTTTAGGATATTTGGGAAGGTACATGATAATTGACATAGATGAATACAATATACTGGATCTAAATAAATATTTACTTACGGTGTAAAATAATCATTGGTAGACCACTTAAAGTAGACCAGATTCCTAATCCCAGGTCCTAAGACCTCACACGCAGCTTCAGCTCTGTCCCTGGCCAAGGCTCGTCAACTTCGGTAAGATTCGTCAGGAAACTAGGCAAGTGTTTCCTGACGCGAGGTCTTAATCATGACCTACCACTGGAGTTTTTTTTTTTTCATCTGACCGAGGCCTTCCGCTGGCTTACCGGTCTATCTTTTCTTACCTTGTTGTTTTAATATTCATCAGGAGACGAGACAAGTATTTCCTGACACGGGTTCTAATCATATAGATGACCCTTCGGTGTCTCTAAAGATTTTTTTTCTCTTAGCTACTTTCCCAGAGCTTATAGTCTTTACACTGTCCCAGAACTTTCGGTTACGGTGGGCAGTCTCGTGGGAAATTCACGAGGTGGTCTCCATCAAGACTAAGCTTGAGTTCTCTGACTAAGGCAGACTATAAGAGGATTAACTTTTTTTACTCTCTTCACAGAATGTGGAGGTCCAGTCTCAGGATGTCACATACTGGTTTAGCGATTTCTCCTGATTAAAATACAACAGTTGTGAACATCATTATTAGTCTTTAATGAAATGACGTAAAAAAAAAATCTTGATTTTAGGGTGTGTAAGTTTTAATAGGCTAATTGTATTAGTCACATTGGTTTGTATACAATACACTAGAGAATGTCGCTTCTGATCAGTAATAAATCGCAGTATTTGTCTTTATTAGGTTATCTTTGGTTGTTTCTACATAATATTCATATATATCGTAATTACTTGCATGCAAACTTACTTAAAACTTAAATATTGGTAAATTTTACTGAAATAAAAGCTTGGATTTATTTTGGCCTCTTGGTCTCAATTTACCTTTTTTTTTTTTTAGAAGAAACTGGCAAAAATTGAAATACAGATTTTTATGCGATATAATCATTTGTAGGCTACAGACAAGAGCTGTAGCTCGGTAATCTTGATGGGTAGCGGATAACCTCGGGATAGTTGGAACATTCTTCCTGCAAGGCCGTCAACTAGACTCTCTGTACTCCTGACACAGTATTACTTTCAAGATATGACGACATTCTTGTTTCATTCAAGTTTATTTTATAAACTGACTTCTTGACGTTGTTGCTTGTGAAGGCTAAGTATTCCTGGTGGCCAGGCTTGTGATTGCTGTCTCTTAAATAACTTCGACTCTGATCTTTTTCTGAAGTCTCCACCCCCCCCCCTCTCTCCTCCACGACCTGCCTCCTTCCATCCCTTTCCTCGACCCCATCATTCCTTTCTTTCCTTGACCTCTTCCTGTCTCCATGCCTTCCCTCGACCTTCTCAGTGTGTCACCAGCTTTCCCGCCTCACCTCTTTCCCAATAGCTCACCCTCACCCCACTTTGTTTTCTATTATTCATGTGTTATTGTGTCTCCATCTTTTCATGTATATGTTGAGGTAGAGCAGCTGGACCCAGCACTAGGCTCCCCAGGTATTATCCTCAGCTTACACACCTCACTCCCACACTTCCCTCTCCCACACTTCCCTCTCCCACCTCCCACGGCTTATGTAACCTACCCTCACCAAGAATAAAAGCAGACACTATTTTTTTTTTATCTGATAGCATTGAAAAGTTCAGAAACTGATGCAAGGATAGATGACCATAGAAAATGACGATAGACTATTGTGCAGTGGCTAATTTCTTGGTGACTGGTGATGGTTCATGGTGCTACAGGTGCCCACTGAGCTGAGGTAGAGAGGCAGCAGCGCCCAAGTTCACATGTTTCCCGCACTTTGTAAGTCAAGGTCAAGGAATCAGGACCCGCCCAAGAGGTTGGACTCATGCGTCTGGAAGCAGAGCTTCGTAATGTCGACGTGACGTGGCTCCGGAAGTATTGTCAAGCTTAAATGTATCATGGTGGTACCTGTGCATCCAGCAGATAACTCCGCATGTTCATGGAGACGTTTACGTGTACATGTTGTGTATATTTGGTATGTTTTGGTGGTACAATAGTTGTACCAGTGTTGGCAGCGCTGGTCAAGGTGTGAACCAGCAGGGAGTCAGACAGTCAGTGTGCTGTCAGCCGTGGAGGGGAGTGTTGTTGCCACCCTGGCTCTGATCTGTGTTGTTTATATTGTAATATATCTCGTCATTCTTAACAAGTGACAGGAAGTGAGGTAATGTGTATATTCAACAGTGTGGTGGTGGTGCTCCATGCGTCTCCTCTTCCTCACAGTCGTAAACCAGCAAGTGAATTACGTGATACACTAGTGAAACAGGATAGTTCAACTACCGTGACCTGACCAACACAGTAACGCCTACATGGTTAAAATATCTCGTATTGGACGTGGCTGCGAGTTAGTCACTCGTCAACACTGTATGACAGTGTAACATAATGGAATCATAGAAATGTGTAATACCATCAGTGTAGTTTATAGTACACTTGTTTATTATATATAAATTTATTACAAATTGAAAATTAATATTGTACATCGATTATTCATGATCGAAACGTTGTCCAGTTTTCGTGTCCGCGACAGTTGACGAAGGACGAAACAGTTCGTGAATCTCCAAGTAGTTAGTAAGTTGTTATACAACTTTATATACGACTTTGTGTATACCAAAGTTTTATATACAAAAATATGCAGAATTAGCCTAGGATACTATTTGTGACTTTTTTCATTGGGCTGATATTGCACCGACTACCATTATTAGCTTGTATAAATAGGCCTAAATATTTACACCTACCGTACGTAATAAATGGGTGAGAAGTCTTGAAGGGTCAGTAATCAGGAGAGAACGCCATCTTGGCTGTGGATCACGATCTATTCCCTTGGTTCAGCACCTCGAGGGAGGTTCCTTGACGCTGGTGAGGGCTCTTGATCTAGGGAATTGGATCTGTGCTCCAGTTCCCTAAATTGAGCCTGAATGCCTTCCATCCCTACCCCACAGGCGCTGTATAATCCTACGGGTTTAGCACTTCCCCTTGATTATAATTGCCATACAGGGGGACTGCTGGACTTGACTGGGTTATTTTAGATGGCATCTACTAAACGTGCCATTGTTGTATACCCGAAACATGTGGCATAATTGATTTTAATCTGTAAAATGTCTGGTTATTAATGAATGTTGCTCTGCGGCGGAACTCCTGGGATTTATTTATTTACCTTCACATACGTACCTGCTATCTAAACCACTCGAATGTTTTGTTTCTTGTGCGAATTGTTTTTTGGAAAATTATTTCTTTAGGAATACCACGTCAATCAGCGGTTACTGAGTCAGTCGATGTGTCTGGCCAGTTAGTGGCAGTAACCAGACACGCCATTTCCATCCCTGCCTGAAATGCATTACATAATTAGTGTTTTCCTTTTGTGCCTACTTTTATACCAATATATAACTACTGTATTCCTTGTATGGATGAACGAAATTATTATTGGAGTAAGGTTATGTTCGTTGTTAGGTTTTTTACACAATTGCACAACATAAACTATCTTGGTGGCAGAGACTACATATTAAATTATAATTTATAGCCAGAATACGCGGTGGAGCAGCATTTAATAATTACCATTATTGTGATGGTTGTGGTTGATTATTACAGTGAAAAATTTCGTGGTGGAAGTATTCGTATTGGACGCAGTATATCCACACACTGGTATATCTAATGATGCTAATGAAGAGAATAATGAAGACTTGCACAGCTGGCTGCCCGCCCACTTCACACCATCCCCACACCTTGCACTTCCTCTACTTCACCCAGCATTAAAAGCTCTCTCCTTCCTACAAAAACCTTGATTTGCCGTCTACTCCACTTCCCCACCCTAAATTTAAAACTGTCTAGAGACTACAGACGGTAGAGGACGCTAGAATTCCTCAACAGATAACCTCCAAAAAAGCTTTAATATCAAGTATACACATTCTCTTTTCTCTGCTGCTATCTGTATGCTGAAATTGAATACAGTCCATATCTTAGCAGTTGAAGTATCCGTGACTGATGGTGTACAAGTAGGATGCAGCCATCATGATAGTCATGTAAAATATAGACTGTCAGCTGGATAAACCATGGGTCAGGTAGTCATGTAAAATATAGACTGTCAGCTGGATAAACCATGGGTCAGGTATACTACCTCTCACGAGCACCACACGACCCCATTTTTGTGGAAGCTTCTTTTATAAAAACTTGCATGATCTCTTTGGGTGCAACATGCTGTCGATGCCCATAGACAAATAATGTCAACTATGCTTCTCTCGTGTAGATACTGGCATAATTCAAGACATTGAGGAAACGTTTCACCACAAGGAAGGGGGGGGGGCTTCATTCCCGAACCACATGTAGCGAAACTGCCATTAATACAAATAAAAATAAAAAATCGTTCCAAATAAAAATCAATCTTTCCAGTCATACTTCTCTTATATTTCACGTCTAGTTATGCTATTCAGCTAATTTAGGATTATATATCATAAATTGTCATTATTTTTTTATTGGTACTACCTAGATGCCACAATAAATGACAGTTTGAAAAGGCGAGTACCAGCAACACAGGCAGGAACTGCAGCGCTAGCGGGAAGACCTGCAGCTAACCACAAAACTCCCAGCCATAGTTTTCACTTGAGTATTTGTCTAACGGAGCGTTTAAGTGTCAAGGTTATGAAAGCGAATACGAGGTACTATGAATAGTGTGACCAGAGGAAGAGTGGCGTCTAGGGAGGGAAAAGGAGGGTGATATGGAAGGAAGTGTGATATGGAGGGAGTAGGAGAGGATGGTATGGAGAAGGATGAAAACCGCGTGGAGGGGAGAAGGTAGGTGATGAGAGGAGCGTGGAAAGGGGGGAAGGGGTAGGTGATGAGGGGAGCATGGAGCAGAGGGGAGGAGGTGGGTAGTATGGAGGAGCAGCTGTCTGCGGCAGTAAACACCTGGGCTACACTACCCTAACTCTCCCTGCAATAATCCCTCGCCTCTCACTAATACAGACAAGCCTTGTACAGTGTGGTTCACTTCCTCAAAGAAAGGGTCTAACGTAAAAGGCAACCCCCCTTGTTGCAAATTTAAATAGTGCCGCTTTAAATGTTGCCTCGTTAAGTGGGGTCAGTTTAGAACAGGTTGTTCCGGAAAAAACTAGACCATTGGTTCCCAAACTTTTTCAGGCTGCCTCCCCCCGTGGCTCCTAGACCACATCCCTAGTGGGCCCCCCCCCCCATACACATACGAAACCTCTTTCTTGGTACTGTTAGATTTACTACAAATTCAAAACAGCTAATCCAGTATTAACTATAAACAAGCGTATTTATTTCACAAATAAAAATTAACATAGTAAACCATTTTATTTAATATGAAAGGGTAAATTTACTTCTCGTCTGTAACTACGTTGTCTTTACAGTTTTAATGAGATGGATGTGCTTGGTGCAGGAACATCAGCTTCTCAACATCGGTCTTGGAAGCACTAAGAAGTCTTAGATCCCGGTGTAAAGCAATTTTCAGTCTTTGCTTAGAAAGAAGCTTGACAACTGCACTGAAACCTCGATTTACTAAATACGATGTTGAGAAGGCAATAAAATACATCTTGACTGTTCCACAGTGCAGGGTAGCGGTCAGAAATGCTTTTTGTGACAAAAAATCTTTTATTTTTTTAAACTTTGGCCTTAGCATAATGTCATTTTGGAGTGAAATCAGTTCTTCCTCCACCTTTCCTGTTTCCTTGTTGCTGAAATCTAGAAATGGATTGAACACCCAGTCTTGTATTTTAAGCAAAAAAAAAAAAAATCTGAAACCTGTCAGACATGTCTATGCAGCTCATTTAGGTGTACACAATACACTTGAAGGTTATAGTCTGGTATGCTTTTCTCCAATTCAGAGGCTCGGTAACTGGAAGAGCTCACGACGGGCTATGTTACGTTTGAATGACTGGAACCTGGATAGAAAAGTGGAAAGGGCTGATTTGACTTTGATAATATTCTCATTTCCTTGCAGTTGCAGATTAACTTCGTTGAACTTTGTGAATACAACTGACAAATAAGCAGTGTCATGCTTGATGTTTTAGTTCATGACAGAACAGAATTGTAGTCTTAGAAGAATTCAACTACTGTTTTAAATAGTGAATAGAAACTTCTCAGGAAGTTTCCTATTAACAGCCATCTAGCTTCTGTGTGCAACAACAATCACTATCTTCTTCATTCTCGGTACAGAACTGTCGAGACAGTCGGTAATTGAGAGCATGTGCCTTGATTTTATTTGCTGCTGTGATAACAGTGCTTAATGACTTGTGAAGTCGACCACAGTTTTTTTTTACAACCAGATGTTATTTGTGGATTACACAGTGCACCGTAAACACACCAGGTACAGCCTTTTTTCAAGAAACTGATGAAGCCACGATGACAAACCTGCCATCGATGGTACCCCTCTGTTGCACAAGCAAGAATGTTGGTAAGCGGGATGTCTTTCTCCTTGAAAAAAATCTCAACACTAAATAATGACTCCTCTTTTGTATCTTAGATTTTGTAAAACACTCTTCCTTGGTTCTGATGCCACTCTGCCGCCCCCCTTTTTCCTCAGTGCATCCCTGGATCTTTCCACCGCCCCCACGGGGGGGGGGCGTCCATTTTGGGAATCTCTGCTCTAGACGAAAACGTGTGTACGAGTACACGTGTGCTTGTATTGCTTACTAAATATTGTTCAGGATAATAGATATGAATAGAGGGAAATAACATGAGCTGCACGGCACCTAACACCCACTCGTGTGCCTGTCCAAACCTATTATTTAAGCTACCCAAATTCCTCGCTGAAGTGACGCTGTTCGGAATTTTATTCCACTCACCCGTAACTCTTGCCGAGCCATTTACTTCCCTGTATCATTTTTAAATATTTAATTTGTTCAACTTGAATCCATTGTTGCGGGCCCTGTCTTGGTTAGATACTTTTAGCACGTCGTTTATATTCCCTTATACCGATTTTTTATTTGTATACTTCAGTTGTATTCCGCTTAATTCTACGCCTTTCCTATGAGGATAGGCCTTGAGAGTATACCTGGAGAGTTTCGGGGGGCAACGCCCCCGCGGCCCAGTCTGAAACCAGGCATCGTGGTGGATCAGAGGCTTATCAACCAGGCTGTTACTGTTGGCCTTACGCAAACTGACGTACAAACCACAGCCCGGCTGGTTAGGTACTGACTTAAGGTGCTTGAC